AAAACAGAACAGACCAGAGTCAGATAGAATAGAACAAGATGGAATAGAATGTGATGACTCAGAGCTGAATGGAACTGAGCAACTGGGGATATGGAAAGCCATAGAATGTAGTATATGTATATAAAAGTAGTGATTCTCTAAACTTTAATGAAAGCAAGCAAGTCTACTAATTCATTACAATCTACCTCTGATAAATATTTAATCTGGCCATAACTCTGAGCTTGGTGATGGCCAGCAAGACGAAGAATATTATGACCTGTAATTTAAGATAAAAGGGCGAAAAGGGTATTAATTAGAAGATAGGACCGATATAGTAAGGGGTGATTAGCCCAGAGTAGGTATGGGCATTGTGAATGTAGTCAGAAGCATCATCATATTAATGAGGAGTCTGTTGTAAAGGTAAGAGCTTACAGAGTTTAATTGGCAGAAGGTTTACGGATGATTATTGATGAATCAATATGAACTGCTGATGTATTTGATATTCAGAACTATGAGGATTTAGGAAGTAGAAATTGCTAATTATATACACATCTGAGGTAGCTAGACTCTCGCCTCATTTACCCAAAACAGTACCACGGAATATTCTAGTCTCCTCCATCTGGCAATACAATCTAGAGACACCTTCTATATAGTGCTCCATTGTTCCTCTACTCATCATGGAGCCACCTGGAAAGTTCTTCCTTCACCCTCAGTGATCATTACCCTTGTGCATTGTAATCCCAGGCATCACCAGCACAACAGAGTCAAGTGCGCGATATATATACACATGTCCTATCCCTGTCACTAATTACCAGACCCCGCACTGCCATAAACACCATCAATCTTTGCTATCTATTGCAACCCTGAGTATCAATATGAGTTACTATTATACAGTATGTTTGTAAGGGTCGACATTAAGATAGAAATGTTAACAACCTCTACCCTCAAGTCTCAGTGAACGTGCAGTTATTTACCGGTAACTATTCCACCTCCCATAACCTTGCATTCATAACACTTTGCACCTTTATAACCCCGTAACTTTGTAGCCTCGAAACTTCTATAATTTGTCTTTGTCAAAATTGACTCGACCTGTGCAGCTTAACAGCTTCGAAAATCTGCCAATAAGCTGATCCATAACATGTCCAAACAATTCCAGGCCAATTTTTGCTGCATCCAGATCCATTGGATCTCCAGGTAGGGGGATAAGGCAGTGCTAGGAAGAGAAAGGGACAAGTGGCTACCTGAGGTTAGACTACTAGTTGTATAATTTGGGTTAGTAGAGCAAAGTACTGCATCAATATGCCTAACTTCAATTATGTATGATATCAGGTCTGTAGGTAATGGCTGGCAGAGCATCACACAATTCTGGATCTGGGCTTTTATGTTTGGGTGAAGAGAGTCATATAAATGATTGATTAGAGCATTGTCAGAGAGTTTATTTTTTTGGGCTACTTCAAACCAGTCAGAGATATGTGAAGCCATATCTTTTCGGCCCTGCTTTATTTTCAGGATTTGATGGCAAGCAACATTTCATTTATCAATGTCGGCAAATGCTTGTACTAAAAGAAAAAGAATTACATCTGTTGAGGCAAATTTGACTTTGCTGTTCCTATTAATTTCATAAGCAATTGTGGAGTAGGCTTTTCCTTTAAGACAAAACAATAAGTACAACATCTTGCTCTGCTCTGTGGGGCACAAATCTTCATTTGCAATGAGCTTTATGTAAATTTTACGAACAAAGAGAGGTAGATCCTTTCGCAACTCAGCATTATTGGCTGAGAAGATATCAGGTGTAACGGCTGGTAAGCCGAATGGTCCCTGAAGCCTATGTTGATTAACTTAGGCCTGATTCGAGTGGCGTTACTAATGGCTACCAATGTGCTAGTATGTGACGCCACCCAATACAATACTTTGCGTCGGCATATGCATGGTATTCACATGGCATCGGACTCGGCAGTGTGGCACAGCAGTACGGCACTGCACCACATGTTGATAGGCTTACACTGACTGGGAATATACGAGACCGAGTACAATCCTTCTGGACCATAATGCAATAGTGCTGTATTACAGGCATAGTCAGAACACTAGGGGAGTCCCATAGCATAGGAACAGGAGAGGGATTAGCCTTGGTGGCGAGGAGGCTTTCACGTATATAAATGAATAGATAGATGTAGTGGAAGTTCTCTCCTTAGAATTATTATTTACTACCATTGACCACATAGTTGCCCCAGCACTTGTCCCTCGAAACCGTGACATCAGGGTTCGGATGTTTGGTTGCCTGGCTGATCAGAACTTGTTTGTAGGTAGTTCATATTTTTGTGTTAAAGACTGCTGTTTTTCTAGGTTCTCAATCTGGCACTAGAGTATTGTATTCTGTTGTTGAAAAGTAGCAACTTGTTGTTGGAGCTGCAGACTACTTTGGCTTGTTGCTTTTTTCTTTGATTTAAGCTTGGATATTACATCTGTAAGATCTTGGTTCTTTTCCAATACAGTATCATACTTGTTTTTCAGCCAACAAGCTTCTTTATCAAGTTGGACATGGGCATTTGCAAGATCCATAATTTTATCATTGAGCGCTCCTGGTGTAACATCCAGAATACCTCCCTTCAAAGCAGCAGTGAAAAGATTTTGAATTAGGACTGTACAAAGGAGAGGGTATCTCTGAATAAAACTGCATTTCTTTCATCGAATTGATCTTGTATGCAGATGTTAAGAGGCGCCGGCATCCCAGTACCATCAGGATTCCAAGGGTTGTTTTCCATTCGAATTTTGCTTAAATATGACTCTGAAAACATAAATAGAATCATTCTTGGGCTTGATTGAAATAAAATGAATTTTGTGTATACAAATTTGTTTCCCAGTTATCTGACTTAAAAATATTCAAACTTAAACTTTGTTGCATCGGGGTTGACAGACTAGCCTATTTATTTTTATTTTGTTTAATATTTACCCAAGAGGGCAGTATTTCATAAAATTTTGGTAGACAAAATGTCACCAGAAGCTTTATTAGCTGGGATTGACGAGGTCTAATCTTGTTGAATGAAATTGTCTATGAGGAAGGAAGGGATATCTAAGTTGTTAAAGTTATGAGCTGGAGCAAAGATGGAGGTTGTAGCGGAATCAGTGTCGGCAGTTAGACCGATGCAGTAAGTCTTGTATGAGGTTGTGAGAGGAAGATCCGAGTGGAAACAATTGTATTTAGATGTATGGTTCAGAGTAAAACCGAGATGATAAGAGTGAGATTGAGTGTTTGCATATCTTATCAACTGTGGTTTTTGACCAGTATTTATCAATCTCTATGGATCGTAAGTTATGATCCATGTAGATGTAGATCTATGTACATACACATATATGGGCCAGGAATATAAAGCTAAATACATGTGTGTTGGTAATGGATACGAGAAAACTATAACCTGCATTTAAGACATAGTCATCTGCTGGGATTCTAGTGTGAAATAAACGCTAATGTGCATTAAATTTTCGGTGAAGGATGTATTGATAACAGTGATATAGAATGGGGAATTTGATAGTCAAATTAGCCAGACTTACTAATAAGTTATTCTTGGCATTCCAAGATATATCATATTTCAACAATACTTGGCTGGTACATCTTATTCTAATAGAGTTCCCCGCTTGATACCAAGTTAAGAATAATATATTCCTACACTTCCGTAGATATTGATTATTTGTGAGGATTGAGATATATGTTTTAATGCTAACCACTTTGTGAAGAGGGGTTGTAGTCTATAAACCCTCTGATACCTAATTCAGGGTACCTGGCTACATGCCTACTGCTTGCTGACACCTTAGCATTGCCTAGCTGATATCATGATTTCCGAAAAACCTGAATGATACGGAGGTTATATCCTGCCAATTCCTGGCTGAAAGATTCTGTGGATATTGCTATGTCAGGGATAATTTCATGGTATTGATATAGAGCTAGATCTTTTCCTCAGCTGTTATCTTTCTAGGTAGAATTTAGTCGCTTCCATGTCAATTAAAGCTATTCGAGGATTTGGTTCCCTGATATTTTGTACTCCTACCAACTTACTGCATTTTTATTAAATCTGAGGCCGCTCTCTGAAGTTTCATAGAAATTATAATTGTACAAGATCACAATTGTGTAGAGTATATAGTGTTTAGATGTAATTAACTGAGGCATCTTTGTGTCATAAGCTCACCAGCTTTTAGTCTTGTATTATTCCTTGAATTTTCAATCATGAAGAGCCAAGTCTCCATTAGATCCTAATAAATTCCTCTATCAAGCATCTAATATTTCATGTGTTCTATTATAAAGACAAGTAAGCAAGTGCTAAGAGATCCTGACAGTACCCTTGATCCTTGCTCATTAAGGGATAAATAATTTCATGTTCCAGGTTTTTGTTTGTTATTATTATTACATATGATAAATATGAAAAACTTTTTAAAGTCTATGAATAAGTTTGCTTTTCTTGGCTTGGACAGAAAATATTTTTAGGTAACTATTACCTAATTTTGTTGAACATATTTCTATATCTCGTTTTTTTCGACAATGGTCAGAAAAATAAAAATAGATTATCTTCACGTTGAATGAAGATTACTACACAATTCATTGGCATATTATCTTTCGAGACTCGCATATTGATTATCTTTATAATAATTCACTCAAATCATTGGAACTGATAGCTTGTGCCAATGTTTTCATCTAGATTATCTTTCTATATAAAAAGCAAAATTGACATCTCTTTCAGATTCACAAATTTTTTGTGTACAAGCCTTCTATATTCTTAAATTTATTTTTCTTTGATTGTTAACATTTACTTGAGGTCCACACTTATTTTGAGTAATTGATCCTATATCAGCAAACTTATATTAAGCCTTAGATACTAGGTAAGGCAAACTATAACATTAATACATATACGGAATTATTTTCTCATACTGACTCAAATATAACTATTAACAGACTTGTCTAGATAAATATCAATATGAAATTACTTGCAATTTAATCTGCTATTTTATCTGCTTGTATTTTTGAAACAATCATGGCTCTGGAGAAGTTTGACTGTGATGGTGTTATATTCACTCATGATTATGTTGTTCGCACGGCATATGCAGCCCTTAATTATAGATTGAATTCTATCTTTAACTACCCAAAACTTTTTGATACTACTGGTTCAAGAGGCCGAGAAGGTTATCGCGAATTTCCACTTTTAACTTCTGGTAAAATTTGGGCTGGTTTGTTATTTGTAGCTCTTTAACTCTTTGAAAAATGCTAATATTAGTGGTAGGAGAAACATTTTCCTACTATGTCTTGACAAGCCCAGAATTAGATACATTAACTGAATATTCATATATAAATGGTATACACGAATGCAACATTGTACCTGTCTAATGAAGAAAAGATAGACTGGATGAGCTATTCCATGTATTTGAAAGACATGTACTGATATTGCATTCCTGAATTCAAAGACTAGATGGAACTTATTATAAATTGGAAATGAAGATTTCATTTATTTATTCATTGTTCTAGTTTAATGTCCTATGCGGTATCTATTTACAGAACCATGAAGACGGTAAGCCGCTTTGGTTAGGGAAAAAGCTTTCAACAAACAAAACCCGATGTCCTGTCACTCTTAACCGACCCGGCTTAATGCTGAGGACGTTCCTTTCAACCACAGATTTATAAACTTTCCCCAGAATTCGTTAACTCCCCCTTCGGTCAGACTAACATTATGAGAAATTAAAGAGAGAAGACATCTCCTCACTCGGCGTTAGTCTTCGAAGTGTTTGAAGAGATGGCCCCGATGGTGGTGCTGCTGTCGAGGCGATGGTTGATGCCGCTGGGGCTTCGACTACCTTACGTGGTCGTCCCGGCCCTCTTTTCAATCCTTCAGCCTTCTTAATGGTGACCAAAGTAAATCCCTGATCATCAGTTGGCCTGCCTGTTTATGTTGGCGCCATTGTTGGTTTTTCATTACAAATATCTGCCGTTCTCGATAACAGCTCCATCCGAGCCTTCTCCACACTTCCCTTGTAGACCTGGTAGGTCCGACACGCTGCTTTCAGTCACGAACGGTGCTCCTTGCCGCAGTTCGCACAAGAAACCCTTTTCCTCAGACAGTCCCATGTTTGGTGAGCGCCAGCGCACTCACCGCACCTGGCTGCCTTTCCACACGACGCCTGCGTGTGTCCCCACTGGCTGCAGTTGTAAAACTACTTTGGCTGGGCCCGTGGTGACCACACCTGCGCGGTGAAGAGCATGGCATTAATTACAAGGCCCTTTCGAACTACCTCTGTTTGCATTGCCTCTGATGGGAGCTCGACTCAAAAGATCTACGATATCAGCAGTTGAGCTTATCACGGAGCAGATACACACTTTTTGGGGAAGAAACAAAAACCAGGTCGCTTCTCTTCTCAGCTGTCAGAGCAGCATGTAGACAGCTGGACGGAGACATGGGTCAAAGAGGTGGTGTTCAGGCTAAAGGGTGCCATCCTACATTATGCATGAGATAGGTGCATAACCACTCGGCCAAAAGGCCAGAACATAATCATACAATTACACAATGGTCTAGCTCTGGCACGTGTTCATCCACTCGTGTGTATTCAGTTCTGGCTAAGCAAGCAATTCACGGATGAGCCTGCAGAGGTTGGGCACATCTATAGATTATGGGAGGGGTAATGTCAGGATTGCTTTCTGTATAATCTATATATGTGGGCCTAAACCAAATTATAGTATTCTGACTCAGTTCTTATCTTTCAACCGAGCAGCTATGTTTCTATCTCAATCACGATGTAGAATATCAGCCTTTAGCCTGACAACCTAACCTAAATTCATTTCTGTATCACACTATACATCTACGCAGCATACTTTACCAATATAGTTTTGCCTCTTTTCCTATCTGGCTCAGCCGTGTCTGGGGCCCAAATATACTATTTCTGCAGTAGACTAAGAGATGATCTGAAGCGCGTAATTGTTGGCAAATACCTAATCTGCCTTTATGTCCAAATATACTGCCTTTTCTACTAAAATTTTTGTGCCAAAACGAGGACATAGGTCAGGTGCGCCCTAAAAATTGACTCCACCAATGAGCCCTGTACACAAATATCTGCCAAGTCAATCTATAATTACTTCGAGTGATATTTGCAATTGAAACCTGAGTAAGAGTTTTCAAAAAATCAAAAAAAGTCAGCCCACTAAAATACATGTCTTCGGAAAATAACTTCAATAGCTCTTACAACGCCAAATCAAGACAATTGTCACAGATCAACTATAGAAAGCAATACGCATCTGTATGGATGATGGTATATTGTCAATTCAACTTTAGAGAGCTAAGTTCTACAAACTAAGCCTGGTATATATATATAGATTTATTATATTCTAAGTCCTTCCCTCTAAGGTCAGCTCACTTCTAGATGGTTCCAGTTGCTACTACAAGGTTATTATTTCTAGCAGCCTCTCCGGTGTTCGGTCTCAGTCTTACTCATGAAGGAACTTTATAGTTCCTCCTTCAGAGGTTCTAGTATCTCTTACAGGGCTTTTGCACCTGCCCAATTCCTGGTGGTTGTACGCCTGTACTTGCCAGTACTAGCTATAGGAAAATACCGGCTTTGCAGCGATTAAAATAATTGAAAATTTTAGTATAATTAATCGTAGGCTTATATTGTCATGTATTAGAGCCTCGTATAGACTAGGAATAATCTTGAGGCATCTAGATATTGAAGGAGTAATATGATTTCAGACTGAGTAATGTGAGGAGACATACATCCTACATGCCGATGGATAATACCCACACACAATTCGGTTCAGACGTAGAAAATTAGGGGTTCTAGGCTTGATTTAATAGAAGAGAAGCCAAGCAGCTCGGCAGCTGGACAAGGATCGTCCCCCATATCTTGTATCTTCAAGTTGTTCACTCTATTTTCATGATTCGGACTCTTGGCATCAAGTCAAGTTTTTTTCAAGATTGCATCTCCTAGGGTATTATCCTCTCCAGTATAAGAATGTCTTTTGTACCTATATCTAGATAGCTAAGGAAAAACATCTTTCTCACGATCCATTCAAGTCTAGGCAATCACCTATTGATAGAAACATTCAGAATTTTTATTTATTGAAACTTTTACACCATCATATCACCAAAGTTGAGCTGCTACATACTTAGGAGTTATCAAAAATTCGAAGTTCGAAACCAATATTTAAAAAAGAATAAAGAAATAAAGTACAGCTAGTATATTCTATCTAGCCAGCTACACAATGAAGATTCTAAGTTCTGCAACCTTCCTTTTCGTATTGAGCAATTTAATCTCGGCAGTTGTCGAGGCTTCATACATATGCAATCGAGGTGCCATAGGAGATATTCTCATAAGGGAACTAAAACAATTGGCGTCAAGTAGTTGGGAAACATTAAATTTGGAAGAGTTTACAGATGATTCGGATGAATCTTTTTGGCGTCTTCATACTCATTCTCACTTAAATCTAAATGCAGGTGTGTAGACCTCAACAACTTATCTTTACACAGCTGCTAATATTTGAGTGAATTTATAGATGTATGGCCTTACTTTGCGGTCTTTGATAAAAATAAGAGATTTATAAAAGTGCAGCAAAAATTTGGTCCTGGTAGTTTTAAAGATTGTAAGGAGACTAATTAGGAGTCCTATTATTCATGGATTTACACTTTTTCACGAGCTACACTGAAAATTTTTGGATGATTTTGTGTTGTGAAAATATATCATTTTAGTTGATTCAGTTCTTGGAAATAAATGAATCATGTAGCAGTTTATGGCTAAATTGTGGAAATAAAGAATTTGTTAACTATGCAACAAATTTTATAGATTGTTCATGAAAAGCTCGTTCTAGGTAAATTGCTTTTATTTTATAGATCCATATTTGTGGTAAGAGATCCTTTGATAAACGTTAAAGAAATATTGCAGTCTCAGGATCAGCATGATGACTACTCATCGGAAATAAAGACGCAGAGTGTTGTAGACGTACAACCCTTCATTTCGTCTAGGTTCCTGACACAATCTTGTGTGTATTTAAGAGGTTAAAGTGAGTAATAAGGTAGCGCTTCAGGCTACCTAATGGATACATGAGCGGCTATATGGCATGGGCCCAAGGAGGTTACTGGGAGTTTTCTCTGCCTGGATGGCGACACTGTCCTCTGGTATAGTTAAGTAGCCTGAGCACCTTCTCCACTTGGGAAGGAGACATCTCAGGTCATATTTCGCGCGGAGAGAAGTTGAATGATGATGATGAAGGCATGTCTGGATAACTCAGGGTTTTTGAGACGTTCCCCTGGGTGGGTATTCACGGATGAGGGTTAACTTGGGGTGAAGAAAAAGCCACCATAACTTCGCAGTGGTACTTGCAAATGAAATCCGAGGCATGAGTGCTCTTTCTTTACATTGAGTCATCTATTATGTACTTTTCTTTGATATTGTTTTTTTTCTGTTTTTCTATTTTTTAAGTCCTAGGATATACCTGTTTTCCCCTCTGGGTCAAAGACTGGGATTTACAACTAAGATCATATCTATGACATACCCAACTTGTTCCCACCACGTGAACCACTACTCAAATTGTAGCCAGTTAAATTACATGCAGCCATATACAAAATAGAAATCACAACATAACTCCAGGCTCCAAAACTTTGAGCTCCAACTAAATATCTGTTATGAATGCAAGGTTATGGGAGGTGGAATAGTTACCGGTAAATAACTGCACGTTCACTGAGGCTTAAAGGTAGAGGTAGATTGTAATGAATTAGTAGACTTGCTTGCTTTCATTCAAGTTTAGAGAATCACTACTTTTATATACATATACCACATTCTATGGCTTTCCATATCCCCAGTCGCTCAGTTCCATTCAGCTCTGAGTCATCACATTCTATTCCATCACATTCTATTCCATCCTGTTCTATTCTATCTGACTCTGGTCTGTTCTGTTTTAACCATTAGATTCTACATCTCTATGATCCACAATAACCAGATGCAGGGGTGGTTATGTCATCAATCACAACAATATCAGCACTTGTGGTTTGTTAGAAATCAAGGTTCTTGCTATCGCGCCTTGTTTATTTCTTGTACAATTCCTGACAGAGTCCAATGCCAAGCTGTGGCTCTTTAATTTATCCAGTCAATAGATAGGAAGGTTCGGTTGCGAGATGTCATACATGATATAATCATTCTGGTATTGCATGTGAAGTTATTGTTCTGATATCATTTTTTGTCAACAAGTTTATCTGGCCTGATATAGCTCTGACGTCAATGGTTCACTGAAACTTATATAAGTAGTTAACAATTAAGAGTAGAAAATCAATGAATAAAAATGATATAATCCTTACTTTCCACAACATGGTTGGGAAGCAAAACTTCTCGCCTTGTTCCCCTTCCGATCGA